CCCCCTATTCCCCCCCTCGCTGTCTTCTCTCGTTTGTGCAGTTCCGAATGGTCATGGGGAAACATGTTTGCATGCTTATATTAACATGAATGATGTCAACTTGATGCAATGAAAATTATATAAGTGATGCTTTAAGCAAAATCTGACAAAGAACTTGATACTAATACTACTAATGACGACTAAAAGGAGATCTAGCAGATGTTTATCTCTGTGGTCGAAAACAACACTGAAGAAAAAGGATTGTTTATGCTGTATTTATCTTTCTCGAATTGGTATTCCTTTTGATTTTCATTTGTTCTTTTTATATATAATTTATTCAAGAGGTTTACTTTTTTATTGGTTAATGCTGAGTATTTCGATTGAGAGGTTAAGCCAGGGCGATCGTTTCAGTCGAGACTGCTGTACCAGGTCGCAGGATGTCTGTGAATGTGTAAGTAACAGTGTGGCTGAAGTAATGATCATGGAAATAAAGGATATGTATCATCCAGCCTCGTGTTTCTTACTTCCCTTGATGCACTGGGCTGTCGCAGATGCCAGGCAGTGTGCTACGTGCTATATATAATATACAAACTTCACAAACTTCTGAGCATTTCACATGCCCACAGTGTATATTTGCCTCAGGCATAGAAGGTAAGACCTGGATAGAGACTGCCTGAACCCTGAACTTTTTTTTATTTATTTTTTGAGTTTTCGGACTTTCAGCTGTGCATTACGTCGCATGTAATTATTCAGCCACTTTGTCATGAATTCTTTATTGTGGCCACATTTTGCCTAGATGCAACGTGGAGCACCGTCGCCTGCCCTGCGTGCGCACCCACATCTTGCACTCCTACTTCTATTTTGTCTCCCTTTCTTTTAGAAAAATCACTCATATCATTTGTCATGTGGTTATTATCCCTCGTTAAAGCCCACCAGCAGCAAGCTGCACCTCCGGTGTTTCGGCAGAAAGCAGAGTGAGGAGGAAGAGGAAGCTCAGATGTGCAGAGGAATGACAGAGAAGGAGGATTAGAGGGGGGGGGGATTAAACAAATGAAGGAGGATGAAGAGCCACAGAATGCCAGCGAGGAAGAGAACGGGAGGAGGAGGAGAACACAAATGGGAAAACCTGGAGGAGAGAGGCGATAGCTGCGTGCAGGATGTGTGGAACTGGACACAGGAGGAGGTGGAGGAGGCTAGTTCTGTATATAGACACACTCGTAAAGGGGCACCTGCAGCATACTGACAGTGTTAACAGTTCAAGAAGTGCAAAAAAACACACACACGTGACATCGACCAGTTAGCACAGCTTTAATGGGCAACGCTCTTGTGCAAAAAATGAGAGGAGGGGCTGGGTGGGGGGGGTGCTGTCTCCATGGCAACTTTCCCACCGTGTAAAAAAAAATCATTTAGTCGGAAAGACATTTCACTCAGTTCACTGAACTGAAAGAGGCAGAGAGGAGGGAGGGGGGGGAGCAAGTGAGACACTGGGTGTGGGAGTGTGTATGTGTGTGTAGCACGCTGGAGGGACAGATCTAAAGGTATCTAAAAGCTGACAGCATTGCATTAACCCTTATTGCAAATATATCTGATTATTAAACATAATGATAATGAATTCGCCTGCATCATTAAAGATGTATGCAGTAACTCTGGGTGATGCTTTGGGTTTATAGTTTTCTTGACAGGGCCATCTGCATGGAGCCCAATCTTTATGTAACATGTTGAAATTCACTTTATGCCACGGCATTAAACCTGTGTCTCCAGCGCGCCGGAAACCTTTACGTGACGCCCAACTTTTGCTTTCTCATTTTGAAAGTATGCCAACCACTTATTATGCCACGTATACAGTTTTTAACATTTTATTCCAACACTATAAATAATACCCGAAACCTTTCAAAATAATGAATTCAATGAATGCATGCAAGTGGAAACTTCAGCCAGCAGGGGTATTAGAGGAGCCTGCCTCTGCAGGGGAGCAGTGTATTAATACAGGAGTGAGCCCCAGGATCTGACCTTCTCTGCAAACTGCTGCCATGGAGGAACTTGCTATTCACCTGATGAGCACAAACTTATGTAAAACATCCACTGACATTAAATTGCCACATGCATGGCTTTAAATGATGAATGCTCGGGAAGTTCTGTACAAGATTAGAAACGGAGGTAAAATCCATAATTAAACTCTGTTTTATTACTTTTCATTGCTGGTCCATGATTTGACAGAAAAATGTAATTTTCTATGAAGATTTTTAAAAATACTATCAGATCTAATACTCTGGGCAGGAGTGTGTCCAGAGAGTGTGTCTAACCAAAATATAACTGAATTAATTATCTAATGACACAAATACAATTTTAATGCATTCATTTAAATATGTCTGTGTTACTCCACCTCACTATATGTTGGATCCAAATATTGCATTTTGTTCTCCATGTCATTTATTTTAAAGCTTTTAGATATGATTTTAAAACATAAATTTAAATGTTGCCTTTTTTATATGTTTTTGTTTTATTTTTTGTTTTTTAATAGTTTTTTATAGTTTAAAGTGATTTACACATTAATGAATAATTGTGATCTAACAATATAATGCCTGTGCTTCTGGAAAGGCCCCTTCCCTTTACTTCAGGCACCTTATTTATTGCTAAAACCTTTCTTAAGTCAGATTTTGACATTGCTACTTCACCACTTTGCAAAACAGTTATTCAATGCTGAAGAATTTTCAGGCTCTTTTGCAGCACATTTTTTTTTATGTATTACATTGTTTCAGGTTGCACAAAAGCCTACAAATCACACCTAAGGTTTTCAACACAAATTTTTCCACATTGGATTTATTTCTGATCAAATATTACGATTTCCTGTTGGCCATTTTCCCTTCACACTCATGGAAACGCCTCTGGTAACCTATTTGTCTGGTAACCTATTTGTGTGGATGCCATTGTATCAGCATGCTGGCTGTGATTACCTGTTGTGAGGCGACCATCTGGCCCTCAGCATCCCAGCTGGGTACCAATGTCAGGAGACGGATTGTCTTTACCATACCACCTGGACCTTGCAGACATAGATAGCTACGGCACCAACTATATTTCTGATTCATATTGTATTATGTAATTCTGTGACCAAACAAGGAACATAAGAGGAAAAAAAAAAAAAGAAAACACTGTCTGGTCTTCCAAAGGCATACACAGAAAGCGGGCCTTCTGTAATTGCTTGGCAACTGCTGGCATTGTGTGTGTTGAAGTTCAAAGCAGCGAGACACACTGTATATTCCTCTGAGCTGCAGAAAGCATCAGAGTTGCAAAGTAAAGGGATGCCTACGCAGGCACATTCACACACACACACACACGAACATTCACCATCCATTCTGTCAGTTTAATTTGGCCATGATGCTCATTCAAAATAAAAAAGCGCTGTGGAGGAGCTAATGTTTGCATCCAGGGGGTAGCCTTGGGCATAAACCCTCCCTCAGATGAACTTTCTTTAGGTCGCCTGAAGTGTTCCTGCTTACTGGCGCCCGAATAGAAAAGCTGCTTGAGCCCACAGCTTGTTGCCCTCCTTAGAATTTAGGTTAAATTGATGTGGAGCATTGTTTCTGTGGGAGGGTTTGAGCTTGATTAGCTCTGAAGCGCTTTGCTGAATGCTGTGCTAAGCTGACTGACTGGCTGGCATTACCACAGGGAAGGGGATGCTATTGTTGGA